TTCTGGGACTCAATAAGCATTCTTCCATAGCATTTATAAATGAGCTGGATGTGAGATTATTTTATTTTCTCCACTTTCATATGAAATTAGCACACAAACACCCCAAGGTCACCCTTTTCACCAGAACAGCACAGTGTAGTGTTTGCACATAATGTTGGTGTGAGTGTGCACTTGTGTGTTTGTAACAACAGGAAGTGGCTCTTCTTCTGAACAAAAAAATGAAGGGAGCGTGGTGGTGTGGTGTGGGAAGCTGTAAGCCCCAGGTTACTTTGGGCTCGCCTTCCCATCAACTGGAGGCGAGGAGTGGTGGTCATGGTTAATTATGCCCCCACTCAAGACGAACATCCATGGAGAGATGCAGGCAAGGCTGATGAGTTAGATGCCTTCTATGACCTCCTGTCACAGGTGCTAGCTAAAGTGGCCCTTCAGGCTAGAGTCATCTTGTTGGGTGACTTTAATGCCCGAGTTGGTCATGATGCTGGCACCTGGTCTGGAGTGATTGGAAGACATGGGCCAGATCAGCTTAATAACAACTGTAGGAGGCTGCTACATTTTTGTGCAGCCCATGGGCTTGTAATTACCAACACACTGTTCCGGCATCAGCGCATCCATACAACATCATGGATGCATGCTGGGTCCAAGCAAGAACATCTGCTGGACTACGTAGTGACAGAACAGCGGATGCGGGCCCATGTCCTTGACACCAGGACCTACCGTGGAGCTGATCTACCCTCTAACCATCGACGAGTCATCTGTAAGATGCGCCTGCCATTCTTCCACTCCGGTGGTGGGTGTACACCCAGGACCTCATTCAAACCTAAGGTGGCCTGGTCTCAACTAGCTGTTGAAAGTTGCAAGCAAGAATTTCATCATCGTTTGCAGCTGGGCTTGGCATCGTCCCCCACTCCTCCTGGGCGAGGTTTAGGACTGTGTCTCATGCAGCTGCAATGGCTGCTTTAAGTACGTGGTCCCGACCTCCCCAGATACCCTGGCTGACAGAGGAGGTGTTCAAGCTGGCTGAGAAAAAGCGACAGGCCCACTCTCATCGGCTACAGCATCCCACGTTGGAGAATGAGGAGGCTTACCGCAGCCTTCACTCGGAGGTTCGGAGAGCCGTGAGGCGCTGCAAGGATGGGTGGTGGTCGCGGGTTGCTGAGGAGATGGAGTCTGCCTCAATGGCCCGTGATCACAAATCCCTATTTAATTCAATCAAAAAAATTAACCCGTAAAAACAAAGTTTTTCACTCTAAATCCTTTATATGCGTGGCGGCTAGAGTCCTCTCGTCCTCTGGCTTGAGATGGCTGCCACCTATGGGTCAGATGATTGTCTGCCAGCATTAAGCAATTGGTAATTAAATATTTAAACAAATTTCCCGAAACTGTGTAAAATTTTGGGAAAAAAATTTCACGAAAATTAATTGTCACGCACAACGAGTCTGTGTGCAAAATGTCAGCTCGATTGGATCACGGGAAGTGGGTTAAAAAACGACCGAAAGATTTCCACGGTCGTAAGCAAGCAAGCAAGTGAACTTAATATAAAGGATTTAAAAAGTAACCTGCAGTGCCACACCTATTACCATCATTAGGGGAAAAAATGGTGATCCAATCTCCAACCCCCAGGAACATGTTTGCAGAAGTCCTGGGGGAGGGGAAATCCCTCCACAAGCATCATGGGACACAGTGGGGATGACCTTGCCGAGGCTGCGGTGCCTCAAATATTAGAAGAGGAAGTCACCCCCTGTGAGTGGCTGTCTGAGGTGCCATCTGTTGAGGAAGTACTGAAGGCGGTCCAGAGTCTGAGACCAGGAAAGGCACCGGGCAGAGATGATCTCCCAAGCGAAATGCTGAGGGAGGGTGGCGTTTGTGCACAGATTGCTCTACATGACATCATAACAACAGTCTGGACCACTGGACGGGTTCCGCAGGACTGGAACGATGCCCTGGTGGTCCTCATCTTTAAGGAGGGAGACCACACAGGCTGTAACAACTACAGGGGCATCTCACTCCTCAGTGTGCCGGGAAAGGTCCTGGCAAAGATTATTCAACACCGCATTGCCAGGCATGCTGAGGAGAGGCTTGCGGAGCCCCAATGTGGTTTCAGGAAAGGGCGGTCCTGCACAGATGCCATATTTTCTGTCCGTTTGCTCCAGCAAAGGTGTAAGGAATTCCAACAAGACCTACATCTCTGCTTTATTGAACTGGTCAAGGCCTATGATACCATGAGTAGGCCTGGGCTCTGGGTTGTTCTTTGTGCTTTCGGAGTCCCTGACCCTCTGCTCACGATCATTAAGGACCTTCATGATGGTGAGCGGGCCCAGGTAAAACTACGTGGCCGGGAGTCGGAGCCATTCCCTGTTCACCTTGGGGTGCGACAGGGATGTCCTCTGGCTCCAACATTATTTAACATCTATTTCGACCACGTAGTTCGTGAAGCCCTTCAGTAGCTGTACAGGAGTAATTTCCATCTGGTACAGATACAATGGGAGGCTGATCGATGCCCGGGTGCGGTCAAGGGATGGCTCCCTATTGGTCAACCACGTTATGTATGCCGATGACCTGGTAATTGCGGCTCACTCAGAGGAGGAGTTGGAGGCGCTGCTGCTGAAACTGGAGTGTTCCATGAAGAGGTGAGGCCTTACCATCAGTCCCACCAAAACAAAGCATCTGCCTAGGTATTTTGTACCATCGGGCACTCCACCTACACAACTCCCAATCGGTGATGGGGCAGTTGTGGAGAGAGTGGAGAGTTTCCCATACCTGGGCAGTGTGCTCATGACTGGCTCCGGTTTAACAGCAGAGGTCTCACTCCGAATCAGTCGAGCAGCATTATCTTTTCATCGGTTGCGTAACGCTGTGTGTAAGTTACCTGGTTTGTTGCTCCGCACGAAGCTTCGGGTCTTCTCGGCCACAGTCATTCCCTCCCTTCTTTATGCTTGCGAAACGTGGACCCCCCTAATGGAACATCTTCGCCGGTTAGAAACATTTAGGCTAGCCTGCCTACGATCCATCCTGGGTTTAACCAGGCTGGATTGTGTGAGGAGCTCACAAATCCTCGAAAGATCTGGACAAAGTCCCATCGGTGAGCTCCTCCGGCAGGCAAGGCTGCGTTGGCTGGGCCATGTAGCCCGCATGCCCAATCACCGCATGCCCAAACAGCTTTTGCTCGTCCGGATCGAGGGGGCTAAACGGGCGCGGCACGGGCTAGAGAGGAGATGGAGTGATGTGGTACAGGAGGATGTGGAGATGACTGGTACCAGCGGTGTCAAGATCGGCCTCTGTGGAGGAGGCTCATGAAGGACGCTACTGGGCAGTTGAAGGCAGTCGCCCTCCAACAACAACGGAGGGTGGAGGAGCGACGCTCACAACAACGAGCAGAGCGCCGGGTGGCTATAGCACAGCAAGTTGGCACAGTAGGGGGCACAGGTGGTGCATCAGCCAGTCATCTCAGTCAGTCGACCCGTGGCACCTGGGTGTGCCCCGTGACCTCCTGCCAGCGGGCGTTCGACACTTCACGTGGCCTCAAGGTGCACATAGCCTGGCACAAGCGTGGTGGTGACGTCACCACCACTTAGTGGCGAATGGCGGTTGTTGTTGTTTGTAATGTGTTTATAAAACTTTGACCTAAACTCTAAACCAAGTTTTGCCAGTTTTAAATTAGTATTTGATCTGGTCAAGATGTTGTTAGTCACTACGTGGCCTTGGATATGTGTTGCTGAAACATTTTTTGATTAGATCACGTAAATATATAAATGTGTCGTTAAAACCCGCCACCACCTGGCACAGACAACATGCCAATTTGTCACTAGTACAGCACACCGGTGTGTTGGAGAGCTAAGCGACAACATTTACAATCTGAGTACGACGTTTCGCCAGTAATTACGAGCTTCCTTGGGCAACAGCCAGATTTGTGGAGAAGTCCACCTGTTTCGTTCCTTATATAGAGGCGTAGATGTGGTGACAACACTTCTGCGCTCTTGCGCAAAGTGTCAGCAGTAGCAGAACACGCGTGCCAACAAGGACACTCAATTGATTTTGATGATGAAGAAGGTATGTGCAAAACTAGCTGCTACTGGCCAAGACTAATTAGAGAATCTATCGAAATTGAAAGAAAGAAAAATAATTGTAACCGTTCGGATAGCTACCGCCTTAGTGCTGCGTGGAAGTGAATTATTAAATAATACATTATTTAAATGCATGCCTATGAAGGGCACCATACTTCATTAGGGATTACCGTTGGTATGGCTATTTTAATACACACAATAGACAGGAAGGCCAAGATCAAAGGGCTCTCATAATGCACATGCATAATGTACATTGACTCATTAATACCCCCCCCCACTTTGCACAAGAGCGCAGAAGTGTGGTCACCACATCTACGCCTCTACATAAGGAACGCAACGGTTAGACTTCTCCACAAATCTGGCTGTCGCCTGATGAAGCTAGTTGTAATTACTGGCGAAACGTTGTACTCAGATTGTAAATGTTGTGGCTTGGCTCTCCAACACACTGGTGTGCTGTACTAGTGACAAATTGGGATGTTCTGTTTACGTGACAACCCTTACTAGTTGGCTGTATCGGGTGGTGGCAGGTTTTAACGACACATTTATATATTTACGCGATCTAACCCAAAAAACTTCTTATGGTTGCTGAAAAAAAAACTGTCCGTGTTTAAGCGAGCATGATGATTAGTCTAACCAGGACTATGATAGCCTCTCAGCCAATCGAAAGCACTGGTAATTCTGCCAATAATAGTGCAGCCAGTCTATGTGTAATGGTTCGGCCAGGCAGTTCGCCAGCATTGATTCAAGCAAGCCTGACTGCCTAAGTAAGACGCTGAATGTAGAAACTTGTCCAGAGTTGGCTTTTGTTGAAACAATAACATTGAAATTACACAATCCCAAAGGCCATATGCCTCATCTCAACGTCGTGCACGTCACCATGATCGATGTGCATTTGTCAATCGGTTCTCGTTGCGTTCACCTCCCGTGTTGTGCGAGCAGCAAGGATGTGCTCAAGTTCCTGGACGCGGATCGCGACGTGTCAATTCTGCGGGCCCAGGTACAGCCAGGCGACCTGGTGCACTATATCTTCGACCGCGGGCGCACCACTAACGTGTCGCACAGCCTGCATGCCCTGCTGCCCACGGCGCCGCCACTCAGGGGTGGTCGCTATGGCTCCTGTGCCGTCGTTGGAAACTCTGGCATCCTTGAGGGCAGCGCGTGCGGCGAGGAGATTGACCAACACGACTTTGTCATCCGGTACGTTTTGTCCCATCCGTTTTTGCTTTGCCATGGGAGCCTCATGCACTTCGCTTGGTGTCTTAGCCAGCGTTGGCAGAGCTGGGAATGACTGTCAAGAGGTCAATGAATGATCATTATTTAGTTCGGCTGGAGTCTGGCTGTGAAATTTATAAATGGATAGAAATTAGGGATGTAATAAAAAACATGCTTAGGTTCACGAAACATGGATTGAATCATGCACATGATAATCAATTATTTCCAAGTCGTATGTTCATACCATAAATTGTGTAGATTTAATACAATTTCTACTTGAACAACAACGACAAAGGATTTCTCATGTGAATGGAATCGTGACCTCGAGTTGTGATAGTTCATGAAATCATGGAGGGGGAGAATAATTACATTCTCATTGGGAAATATTAATATCCAATGCATCTTATGGACAGTCTATTTATGTATTTTATATATACAGTATACTGTTTAAATTCCTAAATAAATATCTACAGATGACTTCAATGAGTAGGAATGTACTATTTCTTGTTTAAATGCTGTTGATTATGTTTGTAACAGTAAATCTTGACAAGAACCAACAAACCACACTGTAAAATGTAATTTGAACACAAACACAATAAACTTAACTTCACTATTGTTGTAATTTCTCCTGAAGAAGGCCATGTAGTTGAAACATTAATCTTTTGATTTGAAGCTTTCGTGACCGCAGGAATCCATACTCTCTGGTTCTTTCGGTAAAGTCACGTAGGTAGGAAAAATAATGGACCCCGACGTTTCGATCGCCAAACAAGCAATCGTCTTCAGGTGGGAGAGAGAAACAGGCTGCTGAAACAAGTCCTTGTATATAGAGCCGAGAGGGGGAGGGGGACGGGGGGGGGTGCCGCATCGGGCAAAAGGGTGGGGGTTAGAGATTGTGCCTAAGCGAATGGGAAATCCAAAGATAGGAACCGAGATGGGGGGGGGGTGATGCGAGAGTAGCGAGAGTTGAGGAGGTGGCCATTGTATTGTGAGAGATTAGCATGTCAATGTAAACGAATCAACGCGCAACGGTGGCTGTGCTAGTGAGACATCCGGCTCGTTAGAAAACGAGGGGAACAAACGAGGGACAACACCACATCGAGGGAAGGAGAGAGAGAGACACACCGAGAGGCACACCCACGCACGGAGAGAGACAGAGAGAGAGACACACCAAGAGAGAGACACACAGAGGGACGCACAGAGACACACATACACACAGAGACACACACACAAAGTGACACAGAGAGAGACACATACACACAAAGAGGCACAGAGAGAGACCTACACAAAGAGACACAAGAAAGAGACACAACAACATCACAGCCAGTTATAGTCTGCTACAAAACGAGAGCCACCGCCACATCGAGGGAAAGGGGCAACGTTAGCTGTGTTAGTGAGACATTTAGCCCGTTAATGTAAAGACATTTAACTTGGTAATGTAAATTGGTAATGTAATGGCAGGTAAGATGGAAACATCAACAACCATCTTCTTGGTTCTTTCGGTAAAGTCACGTAGAAGGGAAGTAATAAAATAATAAAAATAAAACATAATAAAATAATTCTCACGACGTTTCGGCCACAACGCAAGCAGCCGTCCTCAGGTGAAGAACATGTCTGTCGATAAGACAGAGTCTAAATGACACGTCTTAGGCTTGGAGTGTCTATTTAAGCTGTGAGGGAGGAGGAAGAGAGCCTTGACAAAAGAATTTGCATTTGAAGAGGAATTTAGCATATTTATGGGAAATGCAGGAATGCGAATAGTGCTAATTGTGAAATGCGTGGGAGGTGGGCGGGGGGTTTTCAAAGTCATATTATGCCCGTGCATTATGCAGGATTAGCAGCATCAAAGGGAGGGGGCTGGGGCAGCACCAACAAAGGGAAGGAATGTGAATAGTATGCAGCTGCAGCAACCAAACAACCACGTAAAAAACTAAAGTATAAACTTCATAGTATCATCAGTATACTAAATATACTCTCCAATAAGCTGAGCTACTAACAGTAAGTAATACATTACAATTCTATGTCGCAAAAAATATAATATGCTTCCAGCTAAACTTTTTTCCCTTACATCAAACAGGACTCTCCCCGTACTATATGCTGCCATAGACAAACCCAACATTAAATTATATACTGTATTACTATACACCACCTTATACATTGTTATATTACACTATGTATTATTCTACCCACCCTAATGTATATCACACTGCTATATATTCACTATACAATTACGATACTATATATTACTTTGTACATTGTATTAAGCATATAAATGTTATACTATTTGTTACGTGGTTGTTTGGTTTCTGCAGCTGCATACTATTCATATTCCTTCCCTTTGTTGGTGCTGCCCCTGCCCCCTCGCTTTGATGCTGCTAATCCTGCATAATGCACGGGCATAATATGACTTTGAAAACCCCCCGCCCACCTCCCACGCATTTCACAATTAGCACTATTCGCATTCCTGCATTTCCCATAAATATGCTAAATTCCTCTTCAAATGCAAATTCTTTTGTCAAGGCTCTCTTCCTCCTCACTCACAGCTTAAATAGACACTCCAAGCCTAAGACGTGTCATTTAGACTCTGTCTTATCGACAGACATGTTCTTCACCTGAGGACGGCTGCTTGCGTTGTGGCCGAAACGTCGTGAGAATTATTTTATTATGTTTTATTTTTATTATTTTATTACTTCCCTTCTACGTGACTTTACCGAAAGAACCAAGAAGATGAATCCCTGCAGTCACGAAAGCTTTAAATCGAAAAATCAACAACCAGTTAAGGCTTTACCTGGTTAATAACATTCTTCCAATGATTGCTCAATTTGTACCCATCTTCTCGGTTGAAGTTATGTCTGTGTTTATATATCTGGATGGCTTCATGAACAAATTTCTACCTATGTGACTTTACCGAAAGGACTAACGAATATTAATATTTTATTTCCATTTCGTAGTCATGAAAATAAACTTTATTATTTTTGTAACTATCCTGATCATCATTGTAAAACATTGCCACACCCTCCCTCGCTCAAGCACCATCACACCTTTTGCTCACACACCAATGTCTCTTCCCCTCACGCACACCACAGCTGTAACCTGGCACCAGTGGAGGGCTACGAGCGTGACGTCGGCTCGCGCGTCGACTTCGTCACCATGAACCCGTCGGTGGTGGAGCGCACGTACGGCGGCCTGCGCACGCAGGCCGACCACGACCGCTTTGGCCGTCGCCTGCGCGCCCTCAACGGCAGCGTCCTCTGGATCCCGGCGTTCATGGCCAAAGGTGGAGAGCGACACGTGGAGAGCGTCAACAACCTGCTGCTGACCTTGGGCCTCCCTCTTCGAGCCGCCTTCCCCAGCCTCAGGCTGATGCACGCTGTGCGGGGGTGAGTGTTTGCACTTTGGGCAGCAGCTCGCTGGCTCGATTGGTGGAGCAGGGGGCGGACACTGACCGCTCACCTGCCGCACTGGGCTTTCCATGTTCTTCTTGTGAAATATAACGAGCAATTTAAATTGAGACCCGTTTGTTCGCAACGAGAAAAATGTTCGCTTAGCGAGCAGAGGGCGATCAATCGATATGCATCCTGCAGCGGGAGGGGGCGCATAGCGGCCCGCACCTGTTTGCTTTCCAACTGTGCTATGTGTCTCCATTATTCATCGTGTGGGGGAGGGGGCCTCGTGGTGGCACTGTAATGGGTGGGTCGGGGGAGGGGTGGGTGGCAGTCCTAATTACTAATTGCAGACCCTGCGGACAGGAAATCACGCCCCATCTCGTATCCCCGAATAGTGGCTATGAACTCAGCAACCCTGGTTAGATTCCGAGCCACGGCTAACATCAATGGCGAGTGATATTTGAACCTGCGATCCTGCATGGTCCTTGCTGCTGCCTCCACCCAATAACATCATCTACCCTTCAAACAACAAATGCCAGGCACCTCCAAGCACTGGTTTTTCATATGCGGTAAATGTTACATTTGATGTTTTATTACTTTATTTTAAAATTATAATTTGTGTTTTTCACGTCAAAAATGTGTGCAAGAGAGGAACATTTTGGTGCTGACACATAGCTCAGCTTTGAACATGGGGGTCGTTGAGAAACGACGATCGTTTACCGAGCTTACCGAGCAATTTTCGCGGCACGTGTCTCGCGCGTTAAGCGAGACACGCTTGTATGTGTATGCGTGTGCAGTGTGAGAAGATGTGGGTTTTATCTCCCTTGTTGATGAAATTGTCAAAATGTATAATTTGCTGCTCTGGTGTAGGGGTAATACATAAGAAAGTAGCACAATACAAGCATATTTTTACTTAATGTTTCGCGACATCACCGTATGGGCCTTTTGGACTAATGTTTTCCAGCAGAATTTATTTAAGCAGGCACACTGGACCAGTTTCTACTTTATCGCATATGCAGAATGTGACCTGAAACTAGTTGGATAAAGCAATACATGTATTTGTAGGAAAACTAGATGTTTAAAAGACTAACAAAATGTCCAAGCTCACGTAATAAACTAGAGTTGACATTTATTTTAAGAAATTAGTTCAATTAAAATAACACCGTTACCTGAAAAAAAATCTGTTATCGTACATCAAACAAGGTTAATATCAGACAATAATAGTGACGGACTAAACTGATTTTGTGAATTTGCCTGAATAGATGCTTGCGAAACAGCACTTGCCCAAACAATGTGAATGGCTACAGAGGGGGCCCTTCGTCTTTGTTGTATTTTTGTCTCTCGCTGACCCTACATGTAGATATTGAGAGGGTTGTCTTGTGATTCGTCTGAACACTGTATCCAAAACTGTTAATATAAAATAAAAACTTTGATGTATGTCTACGAATACTGTCCCAATAAGCTATGAAGCCTGGAGGCAGATTTTATCCAAATAACCGTCGATATGGCAGGTTTGTGAAAAAAGGCCAGTCAGATAAAATTACATGTAGTATTTATACAGCACGTTTATTAAAGAATGTAGCGCTTCTCCAGGGGTTGGTTTGAAAAATGGAAGGTTTGGGGGAAAATATTAAAAACTGCAAAAAAGCTATAAGTAATCATTTTATCCAGCAGATGATATTTTATGTAGGCGTAGGGTCTATCTGTTGGTCTCCCTGGGAAGGGAGTCCTACCCAGGATGGGTTTAACCCAATACTGGCCGACTACCCCAAACCCCGTCCTTGAACATTACCACTGAGCCATCACTCAAGTGTGGTGTGTTTTTACCATGTACACCATTGTGCCTCAGGGACATAGGCAGCCCATTTTGTGCAGACTGCAATATGTGCTGGATAAACAGCTATTGTGTGAACTTTGCCACCAGCTCGTAAACTGCCCAGTGAAATACAATCCACATAATTTGTGAATACTTTTGCAATACCTAGACTGAACAGTTTTGTTACACATTGCAAAAAAATCTCTTAAAATACTTGTTCTTGAAATTAATGAAAAACCATGAATACTGCTTAAGCAGCATGTGGACACACATTCGCTTTTAAGTGAGCACAGTGCTAATAAGTGTAAGTATAGATGTGATTGAGCCGATATCTGCAGATTTGAAACATTTTGGCGAAGTGGTTGTATTCAGACAGTGTCAAAATTGGAAGGAGTTAAATTATTAACGTGGCAGAGGCTTCAAGGCACGGCTGGCTGAGGTCAACCCTCCTGTTGCCAGGGCATTTTTGTCTTATGCCTTTACATACTATAGATATCCACGTGAAATATATATATGTGTATTTCCATGTGATGGCACCGCGTATATATTGTTATCTTAGACATGTCATTAATGATGTGTGTTTATCTCTATAGCAACACTGTATCTGTATGTTTGTATCTCTATTCGTTGGTTTTTCACAAGTTGTATTCTGAAAACAGGTAAAGCTCAGCTTTGCAGATCCGTATCTTATCCGAAGACCTCAAGGCTGATTACAAGGTTATATAGCAAACTGATGGTGAAGGCCTTATTTAACTATCTGAGAATAAAGCAACACTAATCACAGAAGATAACTATACCCTTATAAATTATTTGCAGAGTCTGACAGTATTTTTCAAATGGTGGGTCATGACCTCCAGAGGGGGTCCACTGGGTCATTAGAGGAGGGCTCGCACAATATCTACTCCCCACCTAAACATTTTAAAGCTACATCAAAAGGGTATCTAGAAGTTGAAAAGGCTTGCAGACCCTTGGTCTAGTGCAGAGAATTTTGCGAGAGTATTTAGTATTTTCATAAATACTAAATACACATAGGGGGGGGGGGGGTGGGGAATGGTTTCGAAGTTGTTAGCATACTGTGTTCATAACCCGGTGACCTCAGTTTGATTCCCGACCATGACTAACGCCAGGGTTGCGATTTCCGCATGGAAAATGCGGAAGGAGGGTTCAAATTTTCCCGCATTTTTGCTAAAGTCAACCGCAAACGGTGGAAAGACTACTCCTATGACCGCGCGCTTTTAACAACACGTTAATGCGTTCTATTGGAAAGGATACATCATGTACATGTGCTCGTAATCACGGCTCCGCATTTGAATAAAGTATGTGGTTCTTGTGCGGAAATGCGGAAATCATATATTCATTCCAATCAGTAACTCAAAGCCCTACGTGATGCTGGGCCTTGCATGTATCCTTTCCAATAGAACGCATTAACGTGTTGTTAAAAGCGCGCGGTCATAGTAGTCTTTCCACCGTTTGCGGTTGACTTTAGCAAAAATGCGGGAAAATTTGAACCCTCCTTCCGCATTTTCCATGCGGAAATCGCAACCCTGACTAACGCCAGTGACGAGTCATGTCTGAGACGATTTTGGAGCCCTCGCCTTCACCAATGTGCAGTGGCCAGTGGTTGTGATGCATGATCAAATGACCTTCTCAACTGACATGGCGTGGGGGAAGCCTTCATCCAAGTGGACTGACAAAGGGGTGTGTGTGTTAGACATGACTGGAAGATGTGCTCGTAGGGGTAGTGGGTGTTCTTAAATGTAGCTCCAGGAAGTGTACGAGTTAATGGTGACGGCAGCAGATAGCAGGGGTATTGATTGGGAAAGAGAAAGCTCACCTTTCTCTGTCCTTCCCATGTTTGCTACAGGGTGAACAGCGGCAAGTGGTGGTGGAGGGAGGGGCATGCAATCACTCCTAACTTATCCATTGCAAATATTTTACAAACAAGTAAATATTTGCCATATACTGAATGTAAAATGTTACAACCAAAAAAACCCGTGAATGCTTTTCGAACCTGGTGTGTCAAAGCGCAAAGTAGCCTAAACCGTCAGCAGACATCTGGCTATCCAGACCATTACTGGAAACTATCAACAACCTTTGTTTAAAGCTGTCTTATTCTTCATCAAATTATGGAGCACAGCGCAGTTTATAATAATGTGTTACAATGTCTCTTGATAATGGGTCGGATGGGCCCTTGTGGGAATGAGCTGTTAGCAATGGTGGCATGACACAAAGAATATGACACAAAGGGTCTGAGAGGCCAGCGCCATCTCTGCCCACGTCTCTCCCCATTGGTGATCTTGATGTTGACATCAACCCACAGCCCACTTTTAGACCCAGTCGATATGTGTCAACTGCATACAAATCTTGTTTTATCCTTCCTGCCTCCTGGCAAGCGACACGTGTTTGACATTCACTTGCCCTACCACCCTCACTTGCAGTGGGTATTGAGATGCAAAGCAATTAAACCTGAACACAACGCTTTTAGTGCTTCTGTGAAACTGCTTGATGTTAGGTTGTGGGTAATTTCGAGCAATGTTAGCTATGTCTTGAAACAGTTTTACTGTCTTAGTGTACCTCAATGGCAACACAATGATAGCGAAACTCATTACAAATGCCCCATACTTAAAGGCTTTTCTTCCTGCGAACAGGATGACAATGGCTTCCTGAAAGGTATATCGATCTGTGAGTAAACAGCCTGCTTCCAAATCGGCGAATGACGGTTTCTGAGAAACAGGGATCGGAATAACATTGCATTCTTTTGTGTCTAAGGTCCCTTAATTTCTTCCGAATAGGAATTATGCCATACATGCGGGGGTTTTCATAAATGTCCTTGCTATGTTTTTTTCTTCCGAAAGTCATTAGTGTGGCACAATACCTAGTCTGTTGTGTGTTCCTCATTGTATGATATCTGTGAAATAAAAGCAACTTGTTATTAGGTAATAATGTTATTATTAGACCTGGAAGATTCCTGCAAGAATTATTTCCTATGATTCCACCCTGGATGATTCAATCAGGAACCTTTATTCTTCTGTGGGTGATTCTGAAGCAGAATATTGGTGCTGGGTAAAGTCACATTTGTAAATGTGATTTGTAACTTTGATTATTACCTGTGTAACGATATTTCAATGTTAATGTGCCTTTTCATTGATGGACTACTGTGTGTGGTGTTATCCTGGTG